TGTAAGGCCCCTTTGAAAAACCCAAAAAAAAACCACTTACCCCCCCCCCCCCCCCCTCACCTATCGAAGACAAAAATAACCGGAAGTGAAAATAACAAACTGGAAGTGTTACTCATATAACCACGTTGATCTGCGCACAAAGTAGTTAATTGCGTGGCGTGTGATCGTTCGGTGAAAACTTGAAAATGGGTAAGGAAGTACGAGGAATAGAAAGAGGGAAATGTGCTTGTGGTGAATGCGAGGATTTTATGAGGTCAGATGGAGCAACTTGTGGCTATTGTGGCTGTTTGCCGACTCGCCATTCTAAAAAGGATGCCCACTACTCCTCTGACTCTGTTGGTAGCACATCGGCTGCGGGAACAAGTGAAAGCGCAAGTCCAGAGAAGTGAAAAGATGAAGACCTAGGGTGGTTCCCGAACCCAAAGAGCGAATATACTGAATTCTCAAATAGTTTTCTGCCATTCGACACCTGTAAATAATTTAGATTAATCTTGACTGGTAGCTTTGCTTGTATATACAAAATAGAAGCGACATGGGGTAATTTTTTCCTTGCCAAAAAAACTGTAACCCTCCCCCGGTTGAGAATAAAACAGTTTTGACCCTTATTTACTAAGGACCCTCCTCTCCGAAGCCCCCCCCCCCGTCAATAAATAACGTACCTTCCCTAACAATTACTATATGTGCACGTTTAAAAAATCGGAAAGGAAATGAAGTTTTCCCTTTATATTAATTATTATTTTCCACAATTCCAGCTTTCACGCTGTAATAAAACAGACACCATGCTTTTTTTCGTTCAAGACTAATTTTTTTTTAAAGATTTACGTTTCGCAAATGCGTAATAATGGCGATTATCTTTTACTATGACCTTTGCTCATTACAAAAAAAGTGTTCACTACTTTAGAAGGGGGCAGGACTTCGCCCACATTTATCAATTGTTTAGAGGAAATTCCTCTGTATGGCACGAGAGTAACGTTCCGCAAATGAAATAGATATCAACTAATTTCGAGACATAAAAAAAATCAAAGTTTCCCTATTCTAATGAACCGGGTCTTTCGATATATCGAAATCCAGCTCACTAGCGAGGCTGAGATGACCCAAACAAAGGACACGGGGGAACAATTTGATCATTTTGTTTTCTAAATAGTCGTACAGTAATAACTACCCCACAGCTCAAATACAATTTTGTGTCAAAGAAGCTTTTCTTTCCAACTGAAAGAAGGAAAACAAGAATCAACATATTGTAAAGAATTTTATTTTGCTACAACATTAGGTCTTGACTCGGTAACACTCGGTTTCAAATCTCCCTGCACGAGAACTAAAAAAAGTTCTAGTTTTTAACTACTCCGAAACAAGGCGATCCAGTCCAAGAAAGAAGGTACGGTGGTTAGTATCGAGAGAGGTGCGCAGTGTATTTACAGACTTGATGTTCTTCACAACCTCAAGACTCTGATTTCTCGTATTCAGGGTTCTTTTTTAAGATGACGAAACCCTCCATAATTGGTGCGAGGGAAATATCTATTAATTGAAGGTTAAGGAAGAATAACAGCCTTATTTAAGAAAAACAAATGATACAATCTTGTTATCGCGTTCTCTTTTTCAATGTACTCAATATCGAAGCGCTAACTTAAATAGGGATTCTCTGAAAGAAAGGAATCAATACGTGACGAATAAGATTTTAAATGATGGAGGATTTAAGACTAAGAATAAAATTAGGGACCAGATTTATTGGTTCAAAGAGACAACTTGAACTGCTTCTACAACAAAAAATCCAACAATGTTAGCATTAAGATCAATGAAAACTCAGTAACCTCAAGGGATGAAAAATAAAGTGCAAATAATATATATAAAGGATACATTCTTCAGTTGCAAGCTCAGCTCTTTCTCCGTACGCCAGCAGTACTGGCGTAGTGTGAGTCTGAAATCCTGTGATTGTCTTTGGCTTTCCTGCTTGACCAACAACATCGACTGCCTACAATGAAATGGCACCAACGGATGTCAAATAAAATCCTGTCAAGTGTCAATGTATGTAAATAGAACAAAGCGTCCAACTAATGGCTATTGCGTGTTTTCAACTGACTTCACGTCGGCCAAGCTGGTGTACAAGCACAAAAGCGTCCATCGTCCGCTTAGCCTGAGAAAACAGCCGACATTTCGCGACGCTAGCACTGATTTCCCCCAAAAATGATGTCTGGGAAAAAAACAACAATTTGGCAATGAAAGCAAATGAGGAATTTGCATCAACCAATCATGGAATGGAATGGTTCAACCAGCATAAATTTTTGCGCTCATTCCTCAGACATCGTTTCGCGGTGAAAGCAGTGGTGGCTTCGCGAAATGTAAGTTGTTTTCTCAGGCTAGCAAATTCTGCGAAAAACGATCGCAAATTCCACCAAACACGATCGCCTTGTCATGAGGTTCAAAACCAGTAACTGGAATAAAACGTTCCGTTAGGGACGGACCATTAGAAAAGTTATGGGGGGGGGGGGGGGGGGGGAATTTT